AAATACAAAAAAAAGCGTGAAATGAACTGAACTTAATTTCGAGACCAAAAATCATTACCAACAACTATACGGTGGCGGTTAACTAAATCAAAAACTTTGAAAATTATTACAAAAACACAAAAAAAAAAAATCTAAAAAACTACAAAAATCCAAAAAAAAGGTTAAAATACAAAAAATAAGAAAACATACATACACGTGCATACAGATGTGAAAAAAACAACGAAAATGAACTTATACATATTGTTTGTCGTGCTGTGCAGACGTGTTTTTCTTTGCTCTTGGATTTTCATATTGAGCACATAAACAAATCGCTTTCGCGCATTCATACAAACAAATAAACAATCCGTTTTCCGCATACACACATATTTGAGAGTGCTGGTGATATTTCGCTACCCTGATTGAAGCCTTGACCTTTTCTGGGAATAAAAATAATAATAATTATAAAGTGCCCTAAGAAGTTTTTTGTTTTCGCTATGTCTGTTCGTGCATCGACCTCTTCTGCAGCGAACAAACGTCCCCTGCGGGGACAGGAGTCCCCTGCTGCTAAAGTGGTAAAGCTGGATGAAGACATCACCCTTATTGCTGTCTTTGCAAAACTAAAGCAACTCGAAGTGAAAATACAGCAACAAACGGACAATCTGCTGCCGCTAGTTGAGAATGTCTCTCAGAAATTGTCAGAGCTGGAGAACAAATTAACAAAGCGAATAGATGATGAGATAGCTGTGTTTACTGAGAAAGTGGCCGAGACGACTACGCGCTTAACTTTGATGGAAGCTAATATGAAGAAGGCTGAAAGCGATATTGCCTACCTACAACAGCAAGTTTCTAGTGCACTACAACAAAAACCTACTCCTGATATTTCTGCTGATGCTGTTGTGTTTGGTGTGCCTTATGCGGATGGGGAGAACCTAAAGAGCATATTTAACCAGATTTGTCTCTCTATCGATTTCATGTCTCCACAAATTCGCGACATCTTCCGAACGCGCCCCACTGCCAACCGCAACGGCGTGATTGTCGTTAAATTTCACTCCCCGCATGATCGCAATCGCACCCTTCGCGCTTTTGGGGAGTATCGCAGGCGAGTTAGATCTGCAGTGTCATTAAGCTCCATTGGAATGGATGGAATTTTCCACATATTTGAGAGTCTCACTCAAGAGAAAAGGCGCTTACTACAAGAGGCTATCAAGCTACGCAGAGAGGGTAAGCTGGTATCGGTATACACAATGCGAGGCGAGGTGCACGTAAGAAATGAAAAAGACAAAAATAGCCCCGCTATCAAATTAACCTGCGAAGATGATTTAGCGCGCTTTCGTTAGGTATAAGATTTTGTTTTTATGTTCCCTCTGTTATGTATTCATTGTTGTAAAGTTGGCACATCTCAGTTTATGTTTGTTTGTTCTTAATATTGTTATCCCTTATGCTTTAAAGTTGCTTTTGTTTATACGCGTAAAATATCATGGTTGTACCCAGCAGCAAAACGGCTAACATTGACAATTGTAGTCGTGCAATGGTGAACATCATGTGCGGTCAACAAACGGGTTTGAACATTGTTCATTTTAATGCGCGCAGTCTTAATTCTGAGAAAATGGATATAGTAAGGAACACTTTTGAATTGTCTCCAGTCGATGTTATATGTGTATCTGAGACGTGGTTCAGGTACAATGTAAGCAGTGTCCATTATGATATTAATGGTTATAAGTTGTTTCGTTCTGATAGGGTAGATAGAAAAGGTGGTGGAGTTGCTATTTACTGCAAAAAGCACCTAAAAACCAAACAGGTTTCGCAGTCACATTCAGAAAGAAGCTGCGTGGAGTACCTGTCTGTCGAAATGTCTAGCCCCTCGTCCAAAATCCTATTGTCTTGTGTGTATAATCCCTATAAGTATTTCAGCCTATGTGACTTTTTTAATTTTCTGTCCACTGTTTCTGTAGATTATGACCATATAATTCTTTGTGGTGATTTTAATGTGAACTTGTTATGTCCTGATTCTACCAGTGCTCGTTTAATAGATGATATCTCCTGTGTTGGGTTGTCTATGGTTAATTTGTCGGTGCCCACAAGATATGGTAGCAATTGCTGTCCCAGCTTATTAGATTACTTTGCTGTATCTGATCCTTCTATTGTTTTGAAATTTGACCAAACATCTTTTATATCTGATCATGACTTGATATTTTGTTCTTTTGACGTTAAACTTGATCACTATGACGACAATACCTATGTATTTAACTTCTTTGACTACCGTTCCTTAGATGTCAACAACCTTTTCAGTAGCCTCTTGCAGATCGATTGGTCTGTTTGCTGGGGTCTCAGCACGGTCAATGAGAAGCTCCGTTTCCTAAACGAAAATATATTAAATTCGCTCCTCACTCATGTCCCTACCCGAACCTGTGACAGGTCTTCTTCCTGCCGTTGGTTTAATGGTGTGGTCCTATCAGTGATTAAAAAACGCAATAAATATTATAACATATGGAAAAGGAACCCGACAGATGAGAACTGGAGTGCTTTCAAAACAATAAGGAATGAAGCTACCTCGGTTATAAGACGTGAAAAGAAAAAATTCTTTATGAATAAGCTGGATCCCTCACTGCCTAATAATGTATTGTGGCGAAATCTGAGAACACTCCGCGTCCATGCCAGTGAGAAATCAGAATGCTCGTTGAGTCCTGAAACGCTTAGCGTTGCCTTTGCTTCTCCGCCTTCATCTTGTCCCCTTACGACCAACTCTGTAGCCTCCTGTCCGGTCTCTTTTGCTGGCGAAAAGTTTGAGTTCATTGCTGTGAGCGAGATTGATGTGGTGAAATCTGTTTTTAAGATCAGGTCCAACGCAATCGGGGAGGACGGCATTCCGATTAGATTTGTGAAGGTAATCTTACCGATTATTTTGCCAACCTTGACACACATAATAAACCATAGTCTCACCACGTCCTGTTTTCCCGATGCCTGGAAGATTGCTACTGTGCTTCCTGTAGCCAAAAATAAATCCGCATCCAGCCCTAGTGATTTCCGACCCATCAGCATACTACCAGCCTTGTCTAAAGTTTTCGAATCTTTGTTATCTGAACAAATCTCTTCCCACATCGGTAAATTCAACCTTATATCCCCATTTCAATCCGGATTCAGACCCCATCACAGCTGCTCTACTGCAATGGTAAAGATACTTGATGACATTAGAATACTGTTCGACAAGAACCACTTAACACTACTATGCTTGCTGGACTTCTCTAAGGCCTTTGATTCAGTTAGCCATGAACTACTGTGCTTTAAATTAAAAAACTACTTTGGGTTTAGAGAGTCAGCAGTAAAACTGATGCGTAGCTATCTGAAAGAGAGGTCTCAGCGTGTCAAGGTTGGATCTCAAATATCTGAACAAAGGCCTTTGTTCACGGGTGTCCCACAAGGGTCAATCTTAGGACCACTACTATTTAGTTTGTTCGTTAATGATATATTTCGGACTTCTATGCACGCCAACATGCATGCCTATGCGGACGATGTCCAGCTCTACATGTCAGGTCCTCTGGAGGACTCAGCTAATTTGTGCGCAAGCTTCAACAGGGAACTGATGTCTATAAGGTCCTGGGCACAGTTAAATGGTCTTTGTCTTAATTGTGACAAGTGTTTTGTTTTACCTATTTGTAAGAAACGTCTTAACCTAGCAACTATTCCATCGTTACACATTGGTGGCAAACCAATTAAATTTGTGTCAAAAGTAACTAACCTTGGGTTTATTATCAACACAGGCCTTACCTGCATTGACCATGTGAATTCAACTGTAGGCAAAGTCTATAATACTTTAAGGAATTTACGAATGTCTGCTCCATTTACACCGATAGAAATCAGACGTAAACTCGCAATCCAACTTATAATGCCAATTATCTGTTATTCTGAGGTAGTCTACAGCAGGTTAGATTCCCAATCAGCTCACAAAATAGATGTAGTATTTAACCAGATCACGCGCTATGTGTTTGGGCTAGCAAGATATGAACATATTTCCGCTTGGAGAACGCGCCTACTTGGCTGCGAAATTTCTGAATATCTTAAAGCTAGAAATTGTGTATTCCTTTTTCGTCTCATGACAGATAAGGCACCCAAATATCTATATGAAAAATTAATGTTCCCCAAATCCACTCGAGTAAAGGACTTGACTGTTCCTACCTACAATTATCTCAGCTCTGCACGGCTATTCTTTGTCAATGCTATCCGCATCTGGAACTCTATTCCATCCCATATTCGCAGTAGTTTAAACAAAAGCAACTCTAAAAATGTTCTGTATGCATATTTCCGTTAGCTTCACTTCAGTCCCTGTGATGTGCTCTCTATGTACTTGTTTAATTAAGTCTTATTTTAAGTATATGTCCTGGAATTGTAGAACTCACTTAAAAATACTACTCTGTTAATTATATTATGTTACTTTTATTTAGTCTTAAGTAATTTTTGCTGTTTTAGTTATATGTATGTGCTGTTATGAATTTTTTGTTGCGCTATAAAAGATCATTCTTTTGATCTTATTGTGCTAATGATTTTATTAATAAATGAAATGAAATATTAAACTAACTAAAAACTTGCAGTGCGCATACATACATAAATGTGCATATAGATGTGTAAAAAAAACAAAAAAAATGTGGCGGTTATAATTAGCTAAAATTATAAAAAAAAAAACACAAAAACAAAAAAACATTCAAAAACCAAAAAAAAGCGGTCGTACCAAATTTTAAAAATAAACTAAACTTTACAAAAGTGGTAGGAAACACATGAGTGGCAAAAGAACAATAAAACCAAAAACAAAACTATAAAACTGCGACCGTGCTGTACCACCAGTCCTAAGCACGACATAACGGCATCGCAACTACGCCACGCGGTCCGTGCTGTACCACCAACGCAAACCGCTAGACCAGTGCAAACCGCTATAACGGCGTTAAAACCACGCCATCTACAAGTGTCGCTATGCCAAGGCGTGACACGCAGCGGTAAACAGCAACAACAACATATATACATATCGCTGAGCAGGGTGCGATAGCAGCGTAAAGCAAAAACCAACAGCTACAACTAGGACAGCACATCATTACATGGCAATATAACTACATAGCAAGCAATACGAGCAACGGTACGCAGGAAGGTGACTTCGTGGGATCTGATGGTATGAACATACATACATATGTACTTTACTTTTTACCTAAACATTTTTAAATTAAATACAACTGTACACTAAATTTGAATACAACAAACAATTTTTCCTTATATATACTTATGTACATACTAACATACAGTTACATAATTAAAATTGTCAATATATACTTTATCATATACATATGTACATACTTGTGTTACTGTTTCTAATGGAATTTCAGAACTACAGTCGCGTGCAAATTATTGGTATCAAACCAACTTTCCTTTTTCAAGTGTTCTATAACTTAAGTGTTCAAGTGTTCTATAAGTTTTTCTGACCTTCATACATGATTTTTCTTACATTTTCGAATTACACTAGCGTGTAAAATGTTTGCACGCAACTTTTCTTAAAATTTAACAATTTAAAATTTTTAATAAACAGTGCCTTGCAAAGTGCTTAACGAAAACTTTTCCAAAACGTTTAATTCAAATTTTGATATTATCAAACAAACATTTTTTTTTTCTGTGCTTCGCCGAGTGCTGGAAACTTTTTTTTGAAATTTTGTATAAAATCAAACTCATCGATACATGTTTTTCTTACAAACCAGGCCGTGCCATCAGATTGCCACGTTTACAACTTTTTTTTAAAACAAAGATTAATGCCGATTGAATGCCAATTGTGAAAATTTTACTGTGCCTTTAGTTGCGTACAAAATCCAACATCTTTTTGCCATAATTTAAATAAATCAAAATTTTTTTTTGTTAACATTTATGCCGGGTTTGTCAAATGCCAGATTTTGATACTGCATTTAAAGATTTGCGTACTGATTTTGCAAAAGTTACAAAACGTGTGTTACAAAGTCGTCCTATCTCAACAAAAGAGGGCAAGTTAGAGGAATATAAAGAATCTTTAGTAAAAAGTTATAACAACATTTTAATACTAGTAAATTCGCACTTCAAACAAAGGGTTAAGCCAAAGTCATTAATTGTAAGTTTATCGCGGTGTAGAGAAAAGCTACTTAAGTGTTTTTATAAAATTGGTTGCAAAATAAAAGTACCAGAAGATTTCGACGAATTAATTACAGAAAGCGTTTTGTATTCGGACGCAGATTCCGACGAAGAATTTGCTGACGCACGATCAACTGGCACCCTTGAAGTTTATAGTATTAAAAAGAGTCGTTCCTTGTCTTTTCTGGAAGATTTTTTGGGATTCGACGACCCCCCTTACGTAACCACTAGCTCACCAAATATTAACTTCTTTCAAAATACCAACGCAAAAATGGCAACAACTGAGCAAAAGAAATCATTTAAAAGTTTATGCGCCTCGATTATAAGGGAAAATTATAGTGGTGACCCGCTATCACTTGCCTCGTTTATTGATAAAATTACCCTTATTGAAGAATTATCAGACGAAAGCCTCACTACAACATTTATTGCATTTTTGAAATCCAAACTTGAAGGTAAAGCTCGCGAGTCCCTACCAACGCATATAAGCTCAGTTAGTCAAATTAAAGAAGCGTTGTCAAACAAAATAAAACCAGATAACTCGAAAGTTGTCGGTGGTAAAATTGCAGCTTTGAAAGTGCATAACAACAATTATTCAGATTTTGCGAAACAGGTAGAGGAGCTCGCAGATTCCCTGGAGCGTTCGCTTATTATTGAAGGAATGACACAAGCGAAAGCTCACGAGATGGCAGTTGAGCAAACAATAAATGTTTGTAGGCTCAACAGCCGTTCAGATATGGTAAAGTCAATACTAGCATCGTCAACCTTCAGCGACTGGAAAGATGTTGTAGCGAAGATGATTGTGGAGCACGACAATATAATAAAAGAGCGGCAGGTGTTGGCTTTTAGGTCACGTCCCATACGGACAAATAATTTTCGAGCAGGTTATAGAGGCAGCAATAACTACAGATATCACAATAACAATTTTAGGTTTAACGGCAATTCAAATAGACACAGCGGCAATACTAGCTATCGAAACAACAATCAGAATAGGAATAATAGTTTCAGTAATAGACGAAATAACTACAATAGTAGTAACAACAGTCAGGCTTCAAGCAGTAGAAATAACAATCAAACGCGTTCAAATACACGAAATTCTGCCAATGTTCGGACTTTAAACGCCGAAGCCCCTCAGGCGCGAACACTGGGGAGCTAGACTTAAACAACTAACGACTTTTACAGACGAAAAATCCATTTACTGCCTAAATCTCAACTATTCCGATTTCATTGAAATAAATTGTAGTGATTCTCACAAACAATGCACTTTTTAGTAGACTCTCAAGCAGACATTTCGCTTATAAAATTTTCAAGCCTAACAAGCAAATCCGCAATAAACAGCAATAACATTATTAATATCACGGGCGTAACATCAGAAACGGTCCAAACCTTGGGCACAATAAATACAAATTTGGTAGTATCAGACATTTTCATTCCGCACACTCTTCACGTTGTAAATGACCGCTTTAACATTCCTTCGGACGGCATACTCGGAAAAGACTTTTTAAAAATAAACAAATGCATAATTAACTATGCAAACGATAGCATAACCATTGGTTTGGGGACAGAAAGGATCAGCGTTTCTATTTTGCACGGTACTACTACCGACAGCTTAGTAATTCCACCTAGATGCGAAGTTTTTCGGTTATTTAAGTTGGGTAAATCCAAAAACCCTGTTTTTGTAGACGCTCAGGAAGTTTGTAGTGGTGGTTTTACAGCGAAATGTATCGTTGAAGTAAAATACGTAAGAAATTTCAATATTCAAACCGAAGGCATAACAAACTTCAACGTTTATAAAATTAACGAACCCACATCTGATCCGAAACGCATCGTAGAACTAAAATCGATTTTTGAAAAACAAGTACCCAATTATGCTAAAAATAAATTGCTTGATCTTTGCTCAAAATATTCCGACGTATTTGCCTTAAAATCCGACCTTATGACTCTGAACAACTTTTACGAACAAAAATTGAGACTGACAGACAAAACACCAGTTTACATAAAAAACTACAGATTGCCATATTCACAGCGCGAATAAATAAACAAACAAGTCGATAATTTATTGAAAAACAATTTAATAGAGGAAAGCTACTCCAATTATAACAGTCCTCTAATTTTAGTACCGAAAACAGATCCAA